TTGGGCGTCTTTTCGTCTTCTTGTTGAGCATTTTGTTGGTCTTTTGGGAAATACAGTTTTTGTTATGGACAATGCTTCAGTTCACTTAGCAGAAATAACTACTGAAGCATAGGCCAAGGGGTGTAAGTTCTTATTTAACGCCCCATACTCTCCAGAATGTAATCCAATAGAGATGATTTTTGGGATATGGAAAACAAGAGTTGGCAAACTTAACAATGATAACATGCTAAATATGCTTACTAATATGGCCAGATGTTTCGAGGAAATAGAAAAAGGAGAAGTCAGAAGGTGTATTGGCCATTTCCTTGGACCAGTTTCGTTAAAAGTCCTTGCTCGAAGTGATCTATAAGTATTTTTGCTTGAATTTGAATTTTAAAACTGGTTTAATCAAACAGGTCTGGATGTTCTTTATTTATTGGTTTCAAAAGAAAAGTTATATTTTTTATCGAACAAAATTACACATTTATGAGACATATTTTTTTACTTTTAAAACATTTTAATATTATTTTGAAACATTACTTTGTTTTGAAACACTTTTGTTTTTTATTGGGACAAAATACAAAGTAATGAGACAAATTGTTATTGTTTTGAAACAAAATTGAATATAGGTGCAATTTTAATTTGTTTCGAGACAAATTCAATTTATTATGAGACTTGTTTCATTTGAAACCGAACTAACTGTAAGTAAAAATGAAATTAATTTGTGTTAAATGATCAAAAAAATAAACAATAAAATGGTATATTTAACTTGAAAATAAACCATGAAAGTTTCGAATAAAGCTAAATTTCCATAAAATAAATTGATTATACTATAGTTTTATACTATTCGAAGAATTATAAATGAATTATAAGGCAATCATTTTTCAAAAACTTGAAGTTTGTAAAATCATTCGTAATGAAATTAAAAATTACTATATAATATAATATCGTTTATTAATAATTTTAATAAAATTCAATGTTACAAATCAATCATATAAATTGAATGATTTTTTCGAAATATTTAATTGATCAAAAAAAAATAATTTAAAATAGTTACAAAATCAAATGAGTAAAAAGTTTACCACTACTATTTTATCATCGTCTTATACGAGAATGATTGCTTTATTTGAACTAACAAAAACACCAGAAGATTTTTTAAAGGTCAGAAAAGTCTATTATGACCTTTCCAAAAGTTTTTTTAACGCACTTGATGTATTAACTATGAATGATTGTCGGTTAAATGTTGAACCATTTGATTCATTTAATTTGTTAGAAAAACTTGTTAAATACCAAAAGTTCGCTTTTGAAGTCCCATCAAAGTATTTTTCTGATGCTGTTAAAGTTGCTTTAAACATCAACTATACTAAAATATATGATATAATTCGGAATATAAAGAACGACATTAACAACATCAAGAACATTGATATTTTAATAAATTTGTGTAAAGAAATGATGGAAATTCTTTCAAAACTTCTCCCTATCGATAATATTGGAAGACATGTTATATTAATATACAGAGCCTTATACCAAGTACATTCATCAAAATGTATTACATGGGAAACACTCCAAGATATATGTCAAAATTTCAATAATCTTCGTGCATCTCTTGAATTGTTTAACAAAAACAACTTTTTTATAGAAATGGGACCAAATAAAGTGAATTTCTCATCAAAAATATTTGGAAACAGTGCAATTATAAATTCTAGTGAAAAGAAAGATGTACAAAAAGTTGAATACATTATTTTACAACAAAATAAGCAGATTGAGGAATTGGAGAAAGAACTCAAAAAGTTCCAAAACAACGAAAAAGAAAAAGAAACACAAATAGAAACTCTAAAAATAGAATTAGAACAATTGAAATATGAAAATTTGGAATATTTTCAAATGCATAAAAAAATGAAAGTTGAAAAAATCATAAATGAAAATCAACTTTTGAACAATTGTTTAGAACAAGTTACACAACAACTCGATCAATTGAAATTAGATTTGAAAAATAAAAATCAAGAACTCGAAAATTGTAAAACAGAAAATAGCCAAAATAAACAAATCATTGAACAACTCAATACTAATAGTTCCCAGCAACAATTGCTTATTGAAGAATTAAAGAAACAAATTTCCAAACCTCAAAACGACTCAACTGATAACGATAAAGAGATCCAAATTGAAACTTTGAAAATGAGTTTAGAAGAACAATCACAAAAAGCTTCTTCATTGAATTCCCAAATTTTGCAATACCAAAAAATGATTCAAAAAATGGAAATTGAAAAAGTCAAAATAGAAAAAGTGGAAGATGAGAAAAACGAAAATAATACCATTCTCACAGAATCCGTAGAAATTAAAGCGCCTCTATTGCTTTTCTTAAGCGGTGGGAAATTCTCAGTAGATGTCCATGGAACTGTTATTGAATTTGATATGCCAGCATTTGCTATAGCCCCCTTCACATATCAAATTGAAAATGTTGGAGTGGTTAATGGAAAAAGTGGACAAAAGTATGAATTAAAAGTATTAATGGAAGACGAAAATGATAGTGTTATAGATGGGATTAATATGTTGAAAACTATTTATGTACCAAAACAGTTTGAAGGGCAAAGAGTAAATTTACCACTTCAAATTTTAGACTTTAATCAGACAGTAACTGTTGATGTGCAAAACAATTCTATGTTTAAGATTGAAGGATTCGGGTGGTTCGACGAAAATCATAAAAGAGGAGATTTATGCGTTACTCTCAAAATTGTTTGAATGACATTTTAATTTTACATTGGTGTTTGATTTGTGTTATAGCCAATCTAATATAAAGTTGACAAAAAATATTTCTTTTCAAGCTATTTAATCAACAATATACTCTTATTAATTATAAACAATAATTTTATTTAAATTAATAAAAGGTTTTGTTAATTCAATAAACTGGAAAAGGTATAAAAATAATTGTAAAAAGTAAAATAAATGGTTATAAAATTTAATTAAAAACTAATTAATAAATAAATTTGATTTCAATTATTTAAGCTTAAAATCTTTGTTTTTTAATCAAAACGAACTCAGACAAATTGACCAAATTGATTTTTTTACGCTTAAAAGATGTGTATAACAACAAAAATAATGCCGTTAATGTTAACGAAGGTCAGGCTGAATATTTGTTGTTCAAAATGATACAACAAAAATTTTGACAACGAAAAACTTGGATTTAGTAAAATAAATAATTAAAAGAATGAAACAAACCATTAATCAAAAAACAACACTTTTGCTATATAATTGTAGTTCAGTAGTTTAAAAGTTTATTGTTAAAAATGGTATAAATAGGTTTGTACTTTGAAAAAGCGTTGAAAAAATTGAAAAGGTACTCACGACTAAAAGCGAAAATTTTCAAAAAATATTAAATAAATTGGTTTGTTCACAGTATTTTTTCCGTTATTATTTAAAAAACAACATTAACATCATCAATTATTGACAAAAATAAAAAAATAAATTATTGGCTAAATGACTTTAAAAATATTTGTGTATCAGTTTGTGTTTTTGAAAAACAGTTCTAATAATAATAATATTTATTAACACTCAAATGGCCTTAAGCTAAAAAACATGTTTTTTTCAATAAATTATTACCAAATTTGATTTTTGTCTTTGTTTTTAAAACAAAATTTGATATAATTTATATAAAAATAATTTTGAAAGTGACGACATAATTAAGTAATTTTTTTGTATAATCATAATAACATAAACTAATATTATAGAAATTTTTAATTTTGTAAAAAAGAAAAAAATCATGTTTGGAGAATCAAAAACTTTTGTAAACAACTGTTTTATAATATTAATTAAATAACCAAATAAATAACTAAACACTCTTTTTGTTTTTGTATCTATTTATCTTATTATATATTATAACAATTTTAATAGATTATTTTTTGTTTTTTATTTAGATCTATTTTCAATGACACGAACTAAATCTTTAATAAAAAAAACATTATCGAATAAAAAAGCAACTTGCTGTTTATCTAGTCAACACCAACGTAAATCAAATTAAATTGTGTTTGTTATGATTTGTTTTCATATTATTAATATACGTCTTATTTAAGCAACAAGATTTGTTTTACGTGTATTTGATATATTATTATTTAATAAAATAAATTTGAGGTTCTGAGATACAGTAAAATTTCCCAAAAGTGGCACTTCGGAAGAGTGGGTTTTCGCAAGAGTAGGCACTTTAGACTGAAACAAAAATTGAGTTCTCCACAGAGTGGTAATTAAGGTCTGATTGTCTAAAATGACCGTTTTTGAGAGAACAAAAATTACCATACATTCCCGCTTTTGAGAGGTTTGACTTTAATTTGTAAACGTGTTGCTATTTTTAACCTCAAAAACAAATCTTAGGTAATTGAGTCCTCATTTTTATTATTTTTGACTAAGTTTTGGGTCATTTTTCGGTTTTTCAGCCAATAAGGGGTTTTTGGTCTTTTTTAACGACTTTTTTCAAGAAGGCATTTTTTGATATTGTTATTATTCTAATAAAAATTTGGTTTCCGGCCAGGTAAGTGTTAAACATCTTTAATTTGCATTTTTTTAAAAAAAATAAATAAATAATGTTTTTGTTCTGGCTTAAATTATCAATTATTTGAAAAATCTTAATTTATTGTTTTGTTTATTAGTATTTAATGGTACTTTGTTTTTTTTGTTGATATTTAAAGTAAAAATATTGATAAAAATATTTTTCAGTAATTTTTATTAAATATATCACGACCAAATCAAATATATGCATTTTAAAAATAAACTTATTAAATAAACATCAAAAACATATTTCCTTTAAATTATTTAACACTAAATTGCAATGTATTCTTTGTTAAAAACTTCGACAATTACATATTATATTTCCATATTTAAAAAATAATAGGAATTAAAAACGAGTATGACAATTAAAATAATTTCAAATTCAATTATTATACACTTTTTGATCTAGAACTGAGACAATTATTAAGTTATGTCCATAATAAAAATTTGGAATTAAAGTTATTAAACAAATATTGTATAATATTAATTTTAAAAATTTTTGAAGGAACAAAAACATAATTTTATGTAATTTCATAATTTTTAAAATAAATTAATTTTATGGTATTTAAAACAAATTTGGTATGACTGAAAATATTTGTTTACATTTTATAAAAAATATTTTATCTTTTTTTTCAAAAAAGTAGTAAAATAATACAAATAAAAATGTAAAAAAATAATATTTATAACAATTAAATTGAAATAAATTAAATCAACAAAACAAATGGAATTAAAAAATAGGATATATAATATATAATATATATACACATCTTAAAAAAATACATAAATATAAAATAACAGAAAACCTTACACTCTGTTGTGTTAAGTAGATTGTCCAAAGTATTATTACTCACACTCTGTTGTGTTAAGTGAGATTGTTTTAATATATTTTTTTGATACTTTGTCATAATTTTTTAATTATTTTTATAATAATATTTAAACAAAAATTTTACATTTATTGTTATTATATTGTTTATTTTGATGTTTAAAGGGGCTGAAAAAAACCGATGTTGGAAAAAAAGCGATGTTGTATAAAGTTGGTAACAATAGGTAAAATGTTTTTTAATTATTATTTTGTTATTTGTTTTTTTCCTTTTTTAAAAAAATAAAACCAACATTTTTGCTTTGCCTGAGTATTATTAAGAAGTGTTTCGAATATGTTGTTAATAATATATTTATATTAGGGAGAATACATAATATAATACATGTATTTGTTTAATATAATCGGGAAACCCATTGAACTATTTATAAAGTGATATTAATAGTTGGATTTATAGAGACAAAACCCGTACAAATTAAACAAAGTATAATAAACAGTTCGTTTAACACAATTAACGAGATGGTTTATATTTTCGTTAGTTACGATTAATCACGATGTAATTTGTTGATCACTTTGTTTTCTGTGTTTTTTCTTTTTGGAACTTTTCCCTTTCATAAACTAATCAGCTGTAATAACCTAAGTTGTTATTTTGAAATCTATGCTCTTAAACATTATTAAATAAAACAAACGTCTCTTCTGGTGATTCCGGACAGTAATAAATATATATTGTCGTTGAATAATAATTATTTGTATGCATATACGACCTTCTCATTATTTTTAGTTCTTAATTTCCCAAGTTCATTATTTGACAGTGTTCATAATCATGATAAACAAACGCGTTTTCTTCTGAGTTTTAATGATTGTTTGATTTCAGATTTTTGAAACTTTTTTATACCCATTTTTGTTGTAAATCAAACCTTTATAATTAAAATAATATTTTTTTATACTATTTATTTTATAATGTATCAAATTTATTTTTAAATTGTCGTTATTGTTGAGTGTTTTAATATATAATACTCAGATTAAAATATTACTATTTTAAATTATATTAATATAATTAACATATAACAAATACTTTATTTAATTATAGAAAAAGGTTTGCGACAAAAAATAAGACTTAACCCCGCAGTTATTTTTCGGGTTTTCTGGGTTTTTTGGCTTGACTTTGCTTCCTGGTGTTGGTGAGTTTCTCACGTTGAAGACGTTTTTTTCTGTCTTCATAATTTTCGAGAGCAACTCTGGTCGCTCCAACAACTTTAGGTTCTGCAGCAATACCCAAGAATTTGCAGACTTCTCTTGCCCCATTCATGTCCACTTTTACCACACCCGTTATGTAATCTGAAATGTTGTAATTTGGCGACTTCTTTTGTATCTCCTGAAGCTCGCTTTCACTGGGAGTGTGTGGCACAAATGATATTCCTGCTTGTTTAAAAGAGCTCGTGACATTGTCTCCATTTGCCACACACTCCCAGGAATAGATTAGCTCTCTAATTTTTTCCTCTTCAGACATGTTAATATATTTTTTCATTGCTTGTTTGAACTCTGGGGAATCTATTTGAAGCAATTTCCCACTTTTTTCAACATTTTTTCCTTCTTTTTTTAATAAAGTGAATTTGTGGCAAAGATAGTTGTTTTTGTCCGCCAAAAATTTCTTTTGGTTCCCGAATATTCCCAAGTCCATTGGTTGACATAAATGGGAACTGTGAGGGACCTCCTTAATCATTTCTACGTGATTTTCCAAAAATAAATTTTGAATTTTTTCAGAAAAATGGCCTGAAAAACCATCAAGAATTAGGAAAGCTTTCATATCGGCACGCACACCCATTTGTTCTCTTTTTGCCTTAATTGCCAGGAAGAACATTTTAACCAGAGGGTGTATAATTCAGTATTCATAACACCACATTTTTGTGTCCTTATTAAAGCCCGACTTTTAAGGGATATAATAGCAACATCTTCCAGAGAAAGTCTTTTTGTTACCACAAGTGGAATCATTTTGGTTCCATCTAGGCATCCACAACACAAAAGACTTGTTCTGGAACTTTCTCTTTCAACTTCATTAAACACATCTTGTCCTCTAGAAACTTCTGCATAGACAATTTTTGAATGAGAATCGACCCATTAGTCGAATCCAACTTCATCGAGGTTAAAAATAAGCTCAAAATGGCACCCATCAAATTTCTTTTTCAATTCGGTGTAATATTGCAAAATTGACTCGGGTGTAACTTCTGCCCGTTTTGCTTCCATAACTGGTGCAACATCTGGAATATGGGGTCATAATTTTGTGCAATTGCTTGGACCCAATATTTTTGTCGAAATTTTCGTGAATAAAAAAACTTGCTTCTTCACATGTTGCTTTTTTGTCTTACTATCTTTTATTGCGTTTTGTATCGCAATAATTTCTTCATCATTTAGTAGTCTTTTGCGTCCTTTTTCGGTTTTTTACCATTTTTATTTTGTTATTTATTTTGTCGATTTGACAATGAACACTTTTTCTTTCGAAAGTCCCGAAAAAATAGTCAAGTGCAATGGGAAAAGACAATTTTTTTCTTTTAATATTTTTGAAACATTTTCTGGCAATTCCTTTAAACAATAACGTACTTGTTGACGGAAAGAATCAAATGCCATGGATTTAACTTTGATCTCAAGATTATTAAAAAAATAATCATATCTAGGATTTCTTTTAAATAATCAATCACATTAATATACTGTGGTATTAAAGGTTTTTTCATTGTGTTCACTAAACTTTGCATTTTTTTATCTTGTGTTTTATACACATGTTTAACTTTCGGAGGTTTTGATATCATTGGGTTATGAGACATTGATGAAAAATAAAGATTGTTATAAACACTCAATTATTAAACGTGTATTTTTGATTTTATTTGAAACTTTAGAATATATTTCAACAAAAATAGTTGTGTTAATTATTGATTGTTGTTTTTAACAATTAAATTGATTTTGTTAATTATTATGTGATTGTTTAAATAATTTTGGTGTTATTTTGATTATTTTGCTTTGATGGATTTGTTTTTTTTATTTTGCGATGAAATTTTATCGCATTGTTGTTTAGTTTTTTTTTACAAAGTTTATGTTTTTTATAAAAATAAAATATTAAAAATTATAATAATAAATAACTTTATTTTTAAACATTATTTTTGAATGATTTATTTTAATATTTAAATTACTAATTATTTCTTTAAATAAATTTGCCCAAAATGGTCAAAAACATTTATTTGGAATGATTTAATAATATTTTTATTATAAATTATTAAATATTTATTCTATAATTGTATTATAAATGGTTTTTGAAATAAATTATTATTATATCATAATAGAATCACATTTATATTTTTTTGTTTGTTTTTATAAACCATGTTATATTATTAATAGCTATTGTTTAAATTATACAAACTAAATTATTAAAATATTAAATCATGTTAGTTTATCAATGATTTAATTTATATAACACATAACGAACACTTCATTTTGTATTTATTTGGCTTCGTGTTAAGTTAGTGCCTTTGCGACTGCAAGGTTTACTGATAAGAGTTTGCACATATTAAGTTATCAAATTTTTATTTTTTTTTTCGAGACATTTTTTATGATTTAATAGTATTTTTATTAACTACAATAGTTATTTGTTTTTTGATTATCAACAATTGGTCTAAAAACCCAAAATATAGCGTGATATATATGATAATATAACACTTAAAATCTATATTAATACACAAGATACTCTTATAATAAATAATCTTTTATTTTTATAATAATGGTATTTCAAAGACTTGCCTGAGCGCTCTTCAGTTGTGTTTGCATTGACTGTTTGTGCATTGAATTACGTATTAAGTATCAATTAAGTCATTTTTTTCAACACTTAACTAGAATTTTTTATTAAAATGCACTTTTGGGCAAGTCTTTATTACGGCGAAAAAACCGATGTTTTACCATTTTATATAAAGTTTTGCTTAAAATTAAACATTATTTGCGTTTTGCCGAGTTGAAATTTAAAAAATATAAACATTTCTTAAAACCGATGTTGACCTTTTTATTACCAAACTCAAATCAATCAACACTAAATTCTGAACAAAAATAATAAAATGCCATTAAAAAACACAAAAAATAATTGAGTTTTTTCACGGCATACAAATAGTATTTTACTAACTTAACATGAAAAAACACGATTTTTATTGTTTTATTAACCACCAAGATTTGGTTGCCTCCATTTCGGATAACCCACTCTATTTTCCCCGTCTTTTTATTTTTCCCATGAACGGCACCAAAAACCGATGTTTGACCAAGTTCTTTATAAACAACCATTAAACCTTGACCATAAATGATATTTGCCACAAAAAAGTTGAGGTTTTGTTCAAAAAATTTAAAAAACAGGGAAAAAACAAATGGACACATGAAACGGAATATTACCGATGTTCGATGTTTCTAATTAAAAAATCGTTTTATTTTGTTTTTTTTCTCCAGTTTTTTGATTTTGCTTCGATTTTTGAAAAAAGTTTCAAAAAATTAATTGATTATAAAAAGGAGCTCTGTATTTCATTTGTTTGACAGGGACTCAAAAAAGGGCTGGGAATGGATGCACTCAACTTTGTGTGGTGTAGCTTTTGAAAAAACGGTTTTCAAGTTTGGCCGTGGACTGCATTTCTGATCGAATGAGGAATCGATCAAGAGGGGGTGTGAAATAAAGGTGCAGTCGGTCTTTGATCAAAGAAATGAAAAGTTGTTACGTTTAAAGAGTGTGAATATTGATAAGTTTATTAAGTTGTTTGATATGTAATTGATTAGATAGTGGAGTTTGTGTTTTATGAACGATAAATAGCATGTAAAAAAATTAAAAGTTAAAGTTAAGGGGTGTGAAAAAAAAGTACACTGACGGGGTTTTGATTAAAAGTTTTTGTATTTATGCTAAAAAGGAAAAATAATATTGAAAACATTAATCAACTTTTAAAAACTTTTTATTGTTTTTTTAGCCAATTTTTATATTTTTCTTGCTTCAAAGAACAGTTTAGAAGTCGTTGTTTTATGTTTCTTTTTTGTCTTTCGGCAGATTCAACCTTATCTTTACAAGAAAAAATAATGTATAATCTCAAAAATGATTTTTGGCATTTCGAAAAAAGAAATTAAGTTATGTTAACCTTGTTTTTTTGAATCAAATTGCGGAAAAGTGGAAAAAGAAACTATACAACTAACTATAAAAGTGTTATTAAATTACTATTATTTTGGCAACATCGCTTTTTTCCAACATCGGTTTTTTCTGCCCCTTTATATTATTTTAATAACTGACTTATATTTTTGATGTGATATATATTTTACAAAACAGTTTTATAATGATTCTATATTGTTAATTTTACATTAAATACAACTTGGTTATATGCAAAAATATTTAGTGTATTTTTAATACGATAATAATATTTTTTATACAGTATGGACTCTCTGCCTTATGTAAAACTTTACCTTATGCAAGGATTTTATTATTTAATTTTAATATAACAAAACTATTTTAATAGTTAAAACAATTCAATTCTAAAAATACCAGACACGCTGCCTTATGCAAAAAGCTATTTTGAGGTCGTTTTTGGATAATTTTGAACAAGAAAACCAGAACTTTAAATTAAATAATTTAATGTTTAAAGTCTTTACGCCGCGTCTTTGGCCAACGTAAAGAGAAAATCTTGATCCCGGTTTGTATTTTTTGTTTTGTAAAATGGTATATGATACTTACTACCAGCTTGTCTCGTCGCCAAATGAAATATTTATGCGCAAAAGGTTTGTTAATAAAACAAACGATGACAACAAACTCGCGTTGGACGGTGTTTACTCAATCGTGAGTTTCTCAATGTGGCTGGTGTCCAAAACAATACAAATAAAGTGGGCTGTCATGGAAAATCGTTTTAAAACGGTCACAATTTCACGATGCTCATTGATCCTCCTGTTCATCAAATAATTCAAACAATTTTTATATCAATTTAGTTATTAAATTATATTAAATAGCAAATGTTTTTTCTATTAAACTGCAATGAACATGAGAGTTATCACAACGTTTGAAATATAATAAACACAAATAATATTCTTTATTAAAAATAATAATTTATTGTAAATTATTTGTGGTTATATTTGACTAACAATAATAAAATTGAAATCATTCGTTTTTTTCAAATCCAATGTGTTATTTTTACCAATTTTGGAAGAATCCACAATTTTTTATATTATAAAATAACTATATATTATAACAGGTTCCTTGCATAAGGTAAAGTTCCACATAAGCTAAAGTGACCATACTGTATTTATAATTTGTAACTAAAAACTGCAAAAATAATTTTAGTTTTTATTTTTTTTAAATAAGTTTAATTATATATTATTTTTTAATAAAATTTATCTATAAGGCAAAATTTTACATAATACAGAATATATTCCATGTTAATATTGGGTTTAATAAATTTTTTGTTCTAATATGTACTATGTTCTTTGTTTGTTTATGTTTATAATTATTATTATTTACTTATTATTTATTTTTATTCTACCATTGCGACAGCTCAGTTTTGCCACTTCTAATTTTATGGTTATCTTCGAGCAAAATCTGAGGACAGTGGCGTCTTTATAAAAAATTTGTAATGCGATCCATTATGGATTACAAAAATAATATTATATTAATGATTTGTTTGATTACATTAAAATTAAAAAAATCTATAATATATTTATTTGTTTAATTTTTTTAATACAAATGTATTGCAAAATAATCAAATTAATTGAAAAACAACAATACGTTTTGGCTCAAAGTAGTATGTACCTGTTAAATCACCAGCTTTAGCAGTGTATGTGCAAGGAGAACACCAACTTTTATCAGTTTTCTTTTTATAAACACGAATATCATTGCCCTTACATCCACCAAACATAAAAAGCAATTTGTGCCCCTTTGGACTTAATATGAATTCGTTGCCGCATTCGAAACCATTATTAGGTGTATATTTTTTACAATTTCTTTCCCCGTTTTTCGTTAATGAAAAGATAAACGAATTTCCATTTCCTAGCCATGTGTTTGTATTTTGAATTTTACATGAGACAACTCCTCCAAATTTATTATTATTGTCATCTTCTATCAAAATACAGACATTTTCTTTATTTAATAAACGTAAATTGAAAACAGAAGTTTCTTGTAACCAATCATCTTTTTCGCTGTCAAACAGAACATTTGATATTTTCTTTTCAACTAATTTTTCAAAACATTCTTTTTCTTCAAGTGTAATATTTACTTGCTCATATAATTTGATGTTTTCTTTTTTTCTTAATTGTTTTTGTTCTTTTTGTCTTACTTTGTATACATCAGAATACATTTTATACTTTTCAGAATACATTATCTCATTTACTTTATCGTCTCTTGTTTTCTCATATTTTTTAATTTCATCTTCATGTGGATGAATCTTTATTTTACAACATTCTTTATATAGTGCTACTTTAATGTTGGATATTTCATATAATTTTACACATTCTTCATTGGGTGAGTACTGATTTAATTTATTTGTAATATCATGTTCTATTGTTTTAATTATATCAAGAATTGCATTTAAAGAAGATGTGATGTTCTTTTTTCGCTCATAAATTTCATCCAGTTTGTCAAAGAACCCTTCTGCTTGTTAGATACGTTGTTCAATATTTAGCAGTTTGTTGTCTTCAAAACACTCTTTTATTTCTCTGTTATTTAAGTCAATGATTTCTTTTGAAATTTTAACATCGAGAGCTATAATTTCGTTAAACTTGTTTTCCATGTTTATTAATTCAGTTGCACTATTTTTATACTATAATATTCAACTAAAATAGCTGGTCGTGTATCTATAATTTATTTTGCGTTATTATTCAAGTAAATTATTATTAGATGGACTAATTACTAACCATTTTATATATTTTGACGATTTTTGAAAAAGAATTATTCTTTACTTAAATTTAAATAGACCACAAGATTTTAAAATGTTTTTTTAATGAAAATTATAAAACAAAAAGTTTAAATATTAATACTTTTTTCTTTGTCTTTTTTTTATATTATCAATATTTATATTATTATTCAAAAATAATATAACAATAACAAATAAAAATTATCCAATAGACATCCACTTTGATAATGAAATTGTGTCGAAAGGGAATTGTTTTGTGCCCAATGAGCAATTGATACCTCTTTCAGTCATTTTGTGTACAAGGAATTGACGATTATGGTCAGTTTTGAAGGTTCAACACAGCTGAACTTGACCATATTAAATTGATATTAGAAGACCCAGTAGAAAAAGAGTATCTATATGACTCTGCACATCCAAACAACTGTTATTCATACGACGGAACGGTTTTTGACTCTGACGCAGATAATGTGAATTGCGAAGGATTTGTGTGTAACATCATTGGTCAACGAAAAATGTATAAAACAGAGGCAGCATGTCTGCAATTAGTATCAAAGTGTGCGATACAACAACAAGGGTGTGGACTTGGTGACAATGTTGATTTGTCAAGTCAAAATGTTGAAAAGTGTTGGAGACTCGTATAGAAGACATGTAGAAGTGTATGAAAAACAATGCGAGTTGGTGTGATCTTAAGAAGGGTATCAATTTGAATACTATTAATGTCTTAAAAGACAATGAATATGAGTGTCTGAGTCAAGTAGTTGGATGTGCAGACTACTTGTCTCCCGAATTTGGCGATTGTGATGAGGCCTCTTTACTATTAAACGTTTTCATGTTTAACGAGAGAGTGTTGCCAACAAGTCAAGTTTATCGTTTAAAGCGCGCGACTGCATCGACCAATGCTATTTTCAACGAATACACATTGAACCCCGGGTATAAACAATACACCGATTCATATGCCACGCGAATTGTGTTGGATAGTTTTAAAGACAAAGTCTCCGTCTCTTTTAAGTACTTTAATCGAAAGATTTCTGCGTTTGTGTCTGACTGTATTATGGAGGGAGCGGCAGACCACACTTCGTTGATATCAGGGACATTTCCATTGACTATCAAAACGTTGAGTAGAGACAAAAGTATTGATTATGAGTTTATTACTCTTGCACAAAACACACATGTTGCTGACGATTTGGTTGTTTTTGAGTTTGATCGGAGTTATGCGTGTGGATCCTCTGTCGTAGTTGGGATCACAGAAAAGGCGATCAAGCTGAGTGGAGCACAGTCACCTTTAGGGAATTGGTGGGATGACAAGACGAATATTGCAAAGGACAATTTGGGCTTGAGATTCCCGTCTTTTTCAATGACTTGATTGGAAGTCTGGATGAGAATTTTGTTATTGGGTATATGGTAGGTGACGGCTTAGAGATATTGTCGTTGGAGAATCCCGACAACATCGATGTGTATATTAAAATCAGCGAGTTTTCAACAGTCAATTTTACTCTGACGGACAAATTTTATTATGAATGACTTACTGATCATTAGGAACACAACAGTTAATGGAAAGCTTAGTTACTGGGAATAGCCACTCTATCTGACGTGTGTGCTGACGTCCACTGACGAGAATAAATTGGTGTTTGACTTCAAAAACACATACTCTTTGTGTAAAATACCACCAGAAGTCTTAAAAACTATTACACCGACGGACACCCTCTTCCCTATATACAGACTCCCAAAGAACCAAATTGTAAAGAACTATCCCGAGGAAGGAAAGGCGTCGAAATTAATTACAATTGTTGTTCCTCCAGTTGTGGGGTTAATAGTCGTTTGTGTATTATTTAAGGAACGATTGTATTTATTTTGAGATATAGAAAAATTAAGGGAAGAAAAATGCTGAAAGAATATTATGAGTTTGAGTTGTCATCACTCGGTGGCCCATTAATACAATACGACTAATTAATGTTTTATGTACATTTTTTAATCACTAACAAGTCTATTTCTACTCATTTCTAAACGAAATAAAGAACCGAAATTATTAAATTTTATTAAATTAAAAAAGAATTATAATGGAAGAGGAACTTAAAGTGGTACCAATGAGTTTGATGGTTATAGGGGAACACCATATAGGAAAGTCTTGTTTGATATCACAAGTATTAGAGGGGGGATGTAAAGAGTCTGTACACTCAACGCTAGTCAATGGAGTTGATTTTATTATCAAACGATTTTTGTGGGAACGAAGAATTGTAAATTTGACGACTTTTGAAGTGTGGAACAATGGATACTCAAATAAAACAACCATCTGTTTGATTTTTTTTGAATAGTAAAATTATAATTCAGTATTAATTTAATAAATAACAAAAAGAATTCTGTAAAACCCGTCACCCACCTCTGTGTTTTATATGTTACGACTCAAAACAATGAAACGTTTTGATAACGTTGATTACTGTTTTTCTTTAATCAATAAACACTTTATTATGAACCAAATTCATTTAGTGGTCTTTGTCATGACACAATTAAAGGAAACATACACATCTCACCATTAATAGGTGCTCAAAAAGCAGCTGAGCTCAATATTGCATTCCATTTGACAAGTGCAAAAACACGTGAAGGGATAAGTGATATAGTGACTTTGTTTCATCGCCCGCATGAAGATGTTATCAACATATTCGACTCATCAACAATTGCAAAAAACAAAGAAAATGTTATAAAAATGAAGACTCAAGCATGTAATGTTTGTTTGTTAAATTGACTATTTCATATATATTCAATTTTTTGATAAATGTTATTCAAATGTTATTTATAGCACCAACTTTGTGACACTTTTTTATTTGTCATATTATTAATTTAGAATCTATTGGTTTTTAAACTAAAAATCAAACCAATAAAAAAGAAAATGATTAAAAAATATTTTTGATAATCGATAAAAAATGTGTTGTTGCTTTGCTCGGTAGTTTTTGCCTTTGGCGGACTCGCAGAGCTATAATGTAAAAATTGTGGTGTTGTCTTGGTGTTGTGAAAAAAATAGAGATTTATTTCTGGAATAACTGTGAAAATGTAATTAAAAGGTGTCTTTTTGATATTATTGTAAGGTGTGTAAGAATTAAAATACATAAATACATTTATTTTAAATTATTTAACAATAACCTTTTTAATTAATTTATAAAAACAATAACAACAAAAAAATATTATTTATTAGTTGATTTTATTTATAATTTAACATTAGTTTCAAAGTTTAACTTATTTGTTGAATTAAAAATAAAAATACTCTTGAAAAGTTTATTGTATTTTTTCAATACTAACTCAATAATTATTGATTAAAAAGAAAGTTGTTTTAACTAATTATAATGATACAAAGCTCAACTTTATCACATCAACACAAAATATTAAGATGTATGCAATTACGGGTTATAGACCGCATCGAAAGGACAAGCCTGTTCACAAGGGTGACATTCAATACAATATTCTGGTCTTGCAACAAATGATTTGTTGTTATGGAGATCAAAGACGTTAGCAGGACATGCTGATACACAAGCACCGCATCCAGTACAGCATTCTATATTGATTGTTGGTGGCATTTGATAATATCAGTTTTCAAATTTTGTTTATATATATATTGAATACAAATTATAAATTTTACACAAAAAAACAATAACATTTGGTCATCTTGTTTGTTTCTCATTTTAATTGCAAATTTTGACCATTTTTATATCAAAACTTTTTATATTTGTCATTGTAAAAATTAAATATTTTTTCTAAAGAAAAATGACAATAATTGTTTTTAATGATAAAATGATCAGAAGAAGATAAATGACATTTATTTTTTAATAAACAATTCACTGAAAATAATTTTGTATTTAAATTATTTAATTGTTGATAATATAATTATTCTAGTAATAATTACAATTTTGTTTGAATATAAAATTTGTTATAGCAAATGTATTTTATATTAAATCATACATTTTTGTTGAACAAACTATTGAATATTCAAATTCCAGAACTTATTGGATTTGGTTAAAATAATATTAAATGTATATAATTTGATATAATTGTATTAAAGGCGACCTTGAAGATCCATCAAAATGCTTGGGTTGACAATAATTATTTAAAGTCAAAAACATACGTAAAATAATTAAGAAATTGTAAAAAAGGTTTGAAATGCGTGTCAAATAATTATAATTAAAAAAATAATTAATTAATTATTTTTTATGTTAAAAAAAGTGATTACAAAAAAATTATTTGGTAAACAAAAATTAATTGTATTTTTTTACAATATTTTTATTTAAACAACTGTATTTCATATAAAAAAGTAATTTTTGATATTCACGCATACAGTTACCAATATGACAAGACATGGAATGATAAATAAATAATTAACAAACATGTTTAAATGTAATTGTTGATGTAAACATAAACCAAAGATAATAATTGTTTTCGACATATTTTTGATTTATGAATATATCTTTTATATTTAGAACGGGTGTGACTATTTTAAGTGTGTAACCACATAAAAAATGATTATTTTTCAATAACTCACTGTTGATAATAACATGAAAATAACGTTATTTAATATATATAATCTTTTTTATTTATTATGTCTGATTACACACATAGATAGCACATTATGAAAATGACATCACAACCATTATTGAATAGTGAAATGATAACATGATAATACAGTTACTTTTAATGATTGTATTTTGATAATTATTATAAAAAAAATGATTCACTTTTATACTTTACACGCTCATAGTAAAAATGATAAAATTATTAAACATTTATACTTTTTGAGTGTGTAAACAGATAATTTCAAACCAAACAAATACATAAATATTATATTATGAAAAGTATTTAAATAAATATTTCTAACTACTTGTTGTTCACAACCCATTTGTACATGTTAAAAAATAAAATATATTTACTGGTTAATATAACTGACAATTACATTATTTTTGTATATGATAAATAATCAAATATACATGTGAACAAATTAAAAATGATAATAATAAACCAATTTGTTTTTTAATTACATTGGTGTTGTCTCTTGAAATTGATTAAATATATTTTATAAATTTAATTAAAAATATTATTCTATTTTATTAATATTCAATTTGAAAGCATTTGAATTGATATTAAATGTTTGTGTATTACTTAGATTATATGTGCATCGTATTATAAATCCAAATAGACAAACATTTATGTTTTAATGCACTTTTATGTATGATCTAGAGAAATAACTGTTATAATAACTAAATATATATGGAATTGAATTTTAAAATAATCATGAAAGTGTATTCATTTTTGTTGAAACAAAAGTTAATGTACCACAACAAAGAACTGAAATCAATTTTATAATTTTTGAATCGTCTGCTTCTGCTTTTTGATGATAAAATATTTATTTTTATATTTTATGTAAACCGTTTCCATTTAATCGATAGCGCCCATTTTGGATTACCTATTTTTATCTTTAAACATTGGGAAAACATCCTAATTTATTTATATTTCGTTATCGTTTTATTTTTATTAATTATGACCACCAAATTTTAAAGACTATGGACTGTCAAATAAACAAAAAACAACTAATATATTAAATTAATTTAAACAATTTTCGTATTTGTTAAATAGTTTAAAATTGCTCAAGTCACAGATTGGACCTTATTTTTCCATTTCACATATTTTAAATCTGCTTACCAATGAGTCCATCAACTTATTTATCATTGAAATTGGCAACTGTTTCCATTCTCTTTTGAGTGCTCTAAACTAAAGACTTTTTGTTCAAAATAATTGTTTCTTCTTGCGAATTCTTGTTTCAAGAATTGCCCATAGATGTTCAATTGGGGTTTAGGAAAATCTGCCCTTTTAAAAATTGCCTTTTCAATAATTCGCCTTTTTTCGCCTTTATTTTTCAACAAAATTTCAAGTCATTTGAATTTTTGTTGAATATTTATTTAAAATTCGTTTACAAAAATAAATCTATCTGTATTATTGTATTTATTACAAAAATATATAATGTTTATAGTTAATTTATATTTATTATCGAGATGGTTTTTTTATTAAATAAATAAAATATTTTAATATTTAATTTTATTTAAATTCGAAAACTACATTATAATATAAATAATTATTAACAATATAATTATTATTATAAGAATAACTGTAAATGTATATATACACTGTATTATTATAAATTGTTAATAATTGTATAATAATTGTATTTTAATAACATAAAATAATGATTATAACACTAATAAATAAATAAAAAGTATATATAAATATATATTATATTTTTTATGATTAAATAGAATTATTTTATTATAAAAGGTATTAGGTCATCTACAATATTCAATGGAAAATAAAACAACCACACCATTGGTT